GTTTATGTGAAAGTGTTACATTTTTGTGACGACTGTGTTCGTTTATTATAGATTTTTATTTTAGTGTTTTTATTCTTCCATTACATAACCAGAAATTGAGATCTGGTATTTATTTGCGAATGAGAAAATGGAGGAAAATGTCGTACGTGTAGCCGGAATTAGGAAGTCTGCCTGTAAAGGTGGAATCTGTTAATAGAAATATTTAGAGCGGTTGATGAGAAACCCTGTTTTTTTCCGCTTTATTACTATGTAATGTAACAATGGGTTGTTTGTTACGGCAACTGCATAACACCAGGGATTGCTAGAATATTCGCTCAGCGGATATACGTGCAAGTGGTACTAATGTCAATTTAACACGTACCGTAGCTTACCTACGTATATTAAATTAAAATTAACAATATTTGGAGCTAAGCCAAGTGGATATAGTAAATAATCCGCAGTATATGCAGGGTCTGCTTGTTAATTGAGGAGTTGATGTCTATCTCCGAACGAGTTACGTAGGTTTCGTAGTCCTGACAAGGAACCCTTATAGTTTGGCCACGTCCGTCACACGCTGACAAAGTAGTAGTATAGCCCTCCCTTCAAAAGTTAAACTATTGGCTTGAAAAATTTGGAAAAGATCACGATAAAAGTGTTTTTTTTAAACTTTTAAGAAAATTTATAACAGTTGGTTTAAGACTAATATTCGGTCAACTTATGTATTAGACAATTTCTTACATAATAAAAATGCCTTAGACGAAAACATTAAAAGTGACTTAGATGAAGTGATCGTTGTTCATAACCCCTTGCATAGAAAAATAAAACGGGCAACTACGGAACCTTACACTGCGCGTGGCACGACACACATTTGGCCGGTTTGTGGCAAACAAGCGTATGGTGCGCCTGATGGTAAGCGGCTACCATAGCCTATAGATGCAGGCGATAGGTACCAAATATATCACTCGCATCTTACCTACCTCAACCCAATTTCCTACCCAGTGAAGCCCTTTTTTTTGTGACGCAGGCAAAACCTCTGTTTACAGACGACGGCGCCTTTAAGAGGCACACCGCCGAACGGACCTCACACCTGGCTCCCGCAAGCCTTACGAGCCCCCGCAGTGGCTGCCCACTGAGAGCCCACTAACTCTTGCGGGCGCTTTACGGCATAATATCCGCTATAGAACCCTGCGAATACCCTCTAAGCTGCTTAGTGTGAAACCGCGGGATCCCCGTTTAGGGATTCTTCCGCGTATCCGCACCCAGCAGCCTTCCGGCCTAGCCGGGGCTCAACGGAGGGGTCTCCCTAAGTATTGCGGGGACCCCGCAGACGTGCGCAGGATGGCCCGCGCACCCATTGAAGCCCTGGAATCTAACTCACCGGCAAAAGTATAACACCACCAAAAGGTAATGTCATTTTACTGTGATCTTCTGTAAGGTGGGGCTACTTCTTCAAACGGGCGCATCAATTCGAGTGGGAAAACCGCTTTGTTCTATCTCTCTCATCACATGTTTTGTGTCTGAGGTGGTGTATTTCTTCTATTTTTTTTATTCCAAAAGAATTATAAAGCATTATTTTTCTTCTTACTCCTTTTATACAATGATCAAATTATAATCTGAGGTACACTTGCAGCAATTTTGCTACATTTAGTCCATATAATGTCAATTTAACATTATTATATGGGTTAAATCTAGTTTAACTAAAATTGACATTTTGTAAAGTGGCTGCAAGTGGACCAGTAAGTAAGAGTGTGAAAAGTGAAATATATGACAGAGAGAGTATCAAAAGAATAATTTTAGAGACATTATAGGTACGTCTCGTGCTCATCTAGAATGCTCGTCACCACATGACTTCATACTTAACGGATATTTGCATGTTGAAATCGAGCTTTCCCTTGCCAAACAGGATTTTGTTTGCATTTATTTAAGATAACGATATCAAAAAGGACAAAGGACCTATCTTTTGAAATATACAATTCTTTATTACCACAAATTGCACAGCAGTTACAAAAAAATCCAGAACAAGGCAAAAAAGCTGGTGTTAGCAGAGCGCTGGTTTTCCCCTTTTTATAGGAATTTGATTTGGAAAAGTTCCTTTGATTGCTTCTGAATGTAACTTTTCTCCGCGTTAATAGTTTTTTATAATACCAAAGGAACTCAATCACAATGCAATAACCTGTCCAATATTTCAGTACAGGCAATAAATTTATACTATTATTATGCAAAAATGTCTGTCTATTACCTCTTTATGCCTATACCACCAAACTGATTTAGATGAAATTTGGTATAGATATAATTTGAGTCTTAAAGGATATAGGATAGTTTTTATCCCGGATATCATTCTTAATGGCAGTGGGGTGGAAGATTGTATGAGAAATCAATTGCACCGCACGCAGACGAAGTCGTGCTAAGATCTCTAAGCCAAATTACATCCAAGGCCGTTCAATACTTTTGTAGAGTTTGGCCATCCTTTCCTTGATCAAAGGGTGATAACGGAATCCTATTACTGAGCCTCCGACCGCTATTGTTCAGTACGTCAGCGGGCCGTAGGTATCTCTTGTAGAATTTTAACACATATATATATATATATAGGTGCTATATCCTATTATAATATTATAAATATGAGAGTTTGTATGTTTGTTACGCAATCACGCAAAAAATACTAAACAGATTTAGGTGAAATTTGGCACACATTATAGTTTATTACCTGGATTGAGACATAGGATATATACTTTTCTTTCCGAAAAAATGTTAGGTTCGAAAAGGCGATGGAAACTTTTATGGGAAACCAATTTTTTCAACCAGACGAAGTTCCGGGCACCCACTGGAATTGTATTGCAAGCTGCATCCTATACATTAACCTTGGTGTATCTTTCTGTATAGATATTCTGTGAATTTCGACCGTCTCGAACTAGACTACTAATTAAATATTATTTTACCCTAATTCTTGACTACCACCTTATAAGTATCAGATAGTGAGATCATGTTTATTTAGGTCTTAATTGGAAAGAGGTGTCAATATTAACCTTGACTTACAGCATTGGCATACGTGGAAGAATTTATGCCAACATTTCGCGCTTATGTACCTATATATTATTACATAATCTGATTAATTGTAAAGATCAATATTGGCGATATATCAAACATTATGTTTGACCAATTAAAAGGAAGTCAACAAAAGCTCTTAATTGGCAGGTTAGTCTCATCTTTTATAATAGTTTGTTCGATTCCAAAATAAAGGTGCGATGTTTGCCTTTGTCCTCACGTCATCATCATGGTCTGTATTTCCAATTAGGTACCTACTTTCAATTAGTAAAAGTTCAAGAACTAAATTCGTGTTCGTTTAAATTTATATAAGCAGCTTTACGAAAATCGACTTTACTTAAAAAAATGGCATAAGACCCAGTGAGACTCGTACACTCGATTAGCTGCGGTCACTCCTCTGATTATGGTGAGGTAATGAGGTTGTACACCCTTTGAATCTGATTTTAGAATCCAAGTTATTCAAATACAATACAATAAACAGTTATAGTATGAACGGTCGCGTCGCATCTCGGTATGAACTTACCGACAGACGACGCGACGTGCCCCACAAAAATATATCAACTCCAGCGCCACTTTTAGGAATGGTCAGGGCCTGATTTAAAGTTCTGACCGCCCTAGGCTAACTAAGAATATGCGCCCCCCTGCCTTTCAGGGGGGCCAATCGGCCAACGGGATTGCGGGATCGGTTACGATTTCGTTTTGTTATTTCTGACCACCGAAGGTTTTCAAATACCTCACACTCATTTTCTTTAATACTGTTATTACCAATGCAAAAGAAAAAAAAACGAGCGCGAGGCATTTGAAAACCTTCGGTGGTCAGAAATAACAAAAGGAAATCGTAACCCATAACCATAGCCATAGCAATCCCGACAATTGCACGGTAATTTATTACCGTGACAATTGACTCCCTGTCCTGCCATTTCATTCATTCCACAGGTGCAACTATTTAAAAATACAAGTACAAAAGAGAACTTACGTAACCTAACATCATTGAAGCAATCTGTCAGTAAGTAGATAAACAAAGGAATCAAATCACATCAACCTCAGATTGCAGAATAAAGTTTTAAAATCTGAGATTCCAACATCTATTTTTATTATTTATTTAGTCTTTTTTGTCTTTGTCTAATTAAATTGTAAGGAATTCCTTAAAAATATGTCCAAATATGTAGTTCTCATTGAAGCTGAGCTGAATATTTGCGCCGTTAAGAGCACTCAGCAGAGGCCGCCGCCGCGCCTTCAGCAAGGGTCGCTAGGCTTTAGGACTGCTGGCACATTGACTTCGACAAGAGCTCTGCGGATGATGTCATTGATGCAGCCGTGGCGGGAGACTCGGCCAGCGCTCATGAAAGACCATGATGTCCCAACTCTTGCGGCTCGTCTCATGGCCTATTAAATTCAAGGGCGTCGCCAAGACACCCCCCCCCCCCCCCCTCCCATAGAGATCAAATGTAGCTAGCCGCAAAGCGACCAAAGTGCGAGCAATTGATTTCCTTACCTATTATATTGCCTTAGTCATAAGCTGGCGACGCCTTGGGTAAATTGGTGTAACTGGTACAAAAATGCCGTAAGTTAAATACATATTCGACTTTATTGTTACTTTTCCTTTCAAGATAAATAAAATATCGTATAACATTTTAAAATAACATAATTGTTTTATTATTACGTAATGAGATGGAGATGGAGATTGGACAATGTATTGGCTTGAGTATAAAATAAAATAATTAATAATGAAAAACCGGCATTTCGGTTATTATCGTTTTACAAGACCTCACTAGGAGAAACCATAAACACGCTCGTTAATACTTTACTTTCCATTCAAGTGTCACTGTCATTATGAATGAATCATTCAAACATTCATTCATTTCCATAATACTCTGTGCAATCATGAATGAAAATGACGTAGATTGATACAATAACAATAATTTAATTGAAAATAATCTAGTATTGATTTTATAAAAAATCTTCAAAATATCATAATCATGTTCTGTTGTTTGAAAAGCTGTATTAATGGCTTTAGTTTAAGTCCCAGCGTACCTATACGAATTAAAGAGAATCCTGTGCAATTGGATACACTGCATATGGGTAAGATTTCTAATTCTTTTATGTTATTTTGAAATTAATGGTACATTTCGTATCTTTTATTGCTTATTACTTTGTTAATTTATCTTGTAAATAGACTTAAATTGGGATTTTAAGTTAATTCATCATTTGTGTTATTTTTGGTTATTGCCAGTATACAAACAATGTAGGTTTCAAAGTAGTAGTAGGTACTTCGTGATGTTTGTTTAATTGTGCAAGTAACACAATTGAAAGATTATGTAGGTTAATTATAATTCTTACTGGTTTGAGAGTGCCTTCAAGACCACATATTTTTAAAAACGTCCCATTGAAACAGTCACTCATTATTTATATTTAATATTTTCCAGGGCATGAAGTTGTAGTAGTAAAAGGTGGACAGAGGGTATGTGGATCAGGTTGTGCCCTAGGTAATGCTCCAGTTGTGCAAAATAAAGCATATTTCGAAGTGAAGCTGCAACAAGGTGGTGTGTGGGCAGTCGGTCTTGCTACAAGGGAAACAGATGTGAATTGTGTACATGGTAATTTATTATACTATTTTTTTATATATGTAGTAATCTCTTGCAAGAGAATAAGCAAAGACAGTTTGTGTTGCCAACACTTTTAATACATCGAAATAAAAACTTAAAAAAAAACTAAAAGAGTTTGAATTAATTTTCATGGCTTCATGGCATACAAACTAGCTAAACAGGTTCAGATAAGCAAAATATTTTTTGCAATTAGAGATCTAGCAGTTGAATGCTTGAATAAAATACCCAATATAGTTGCATTGTGAATCTGAAGTTTAGCTATGCTAGGGGTGAGTGCTTACGATGATATTTATACTGATTTAATTAATTTACCTTTCTCACACTATTCTTTCATTAGTAATTCATATTCATCTATTAAAGTTATAAGGGCATTATGAAGTTATAAACCTATATAAGATGGAGTTTGGGCACTGAATTTTGCTGCCTAAAGAGATTGTCAAAAATTTGTCACGGTAAATAATTTCAACTATTTAATGGGGCAAGTTTGAAGGTTATAGCAATAAGTTACATATTTAGGAATAATAACATTATCATTCAATGTGAGTTCAAACAATGGTGTGTTCAAATGAATCATATTTAATGATGTAACTATGGTTCTTTTTGTCTAACACATTTGAGTCTCTGCATAACAATGCATTTGTGTTGCCTTCGGAAAATACAAATTGCAAGGTCAAACTTAAAATATGACTGATTTCACTGACCATGACATGTATTAGTGTAAAGTCATGACATCTTTAATTATTTACTGCGACTTGAGTATATGTACTAAATAATAATTGCATACCATAGTAGGTTTTACGCCTCATTGCATATGCCACTGTAAAAAAGAGAACTGCAGCGTTTGATGAAAAATAGTTGAATAGAGAGTAACTGTACAACTGATCAATTTACATTTCAAATACTGTTTTTGAAATTGTTTGTACATAATAGAAGAAATAAATTACTTGTGTATGGTTACATTTTTTTGGTATGCTTTTTACTATCTCTGTAGAGTTAGATTTAATTAATACTATGGCCTCTTCTTATTATCTGAAATGAAATGTTACAGAAAACTAGGCGCAAATAATTCCAATAACATTTTTTTTTATTTAACAACTGATTTGATTATGTTGCATTTGTGCATATTAATAAAACTATAAAACTTATTAAAGACCCTACTACTAGGGTATAGGCCTAGGCGTATTCCCTATGGAAGGGAATAGGAATATTGGGCTCTGATATACTAATGAATGCAGATGCAGCCGGGCCCAATCGCTTAATGTGCCTTCCTAAGCATGCAGGAGTTCAGGATAATTAGATTTTTATCATCCATCCTAAAGCTAGCCCATGCGAAAGTTGCTTAACTGCCATCAATCTCTTTTAATTTTGACATAATATTTTATTAATTACAGGTGGGGTAGACAAAGAATCTTGGTGTCTTAACAGCGATGGTACAGTAAGGCATGCCAACGAAGAACTGTATCACCTCTCTGCTGCTCCAAGGGACTCCCCTACAGCTGATCTCCTTGTGTCAACGCTTTCAGCCGATCAAAAGGAACAGGAGTCGAAGGAAACTGATGTCCCGACTTCAGCAGCCGTGATGCCAGTAGAGGGCGACACTATAGGCGTAGCATACGACCATGTGGAGCTGAATTTCTTCCTGAATGGAAAGAGTATGGAAATCCCAGTGAGAAATGTTAGAGGCACCGTGTATCCTGCACTATACGGTATGTTTACTCTTTGTTATCTTTATTATTTAAGATCTAATAATTACGCTTTATAGACTTCGCAGATGAGGGACTTTTTTCAGCTTACTTTTTTACAACTGCATCGACTAACGCACACTAGGTAGTAAAAACGTACAACTTGCGAGTCCCTTAAAAATAAAGATAGAACTCATGTAACTAGGCGCATTCGGATTACACAAGTCTGGATTACCGAGAGTCTACTGTCATATGCTGTATTGCCGATGAAATTAGCACATTAGTACGCATTAAGCCGATTGACTGTTTATGGAGTCATACGAGCTAGTTCCCATCAATACAAATAGCACGCAAACATCTCACTTAGAAATTTGCAAGTAATTTGTATGCAAACATCTCACTTAGTAAATTGCCTTTCAAATAGAAGTTATGTTGCTGAAACAGTAAAATAGCATTTTTTTAATTTATTAAGCATATAATTGCTAGATGCTTAAATCTAAAGAAAAATTTAAGATTTAGAAAATCAAAATATGGTAAATTACAGATGCTTTTTCTTCTTTCAAATGTTTAATATTTGAAAACGGACTGTGGGTTATCTACAATGCGAAGAGATGGCGTTGCCTTGCAGCCTATTAATACTAGAAGAAATTCGACACGGCCATTAAGGTCGCAGTAGCATAATTGGTCAGTGCATTCGCCCAAATAGCGGAGGGTGGGCGTTTGATTCCCGTCTGCTGCCTAGACCGCGTGGATTTTTTTCTAGTAAAATATCTCTTACTAATACTGTATTTTGTACGCCATGTTGTTTAATCTTACTCGGAGATGTATTTATCTTTATCGCGCTGTTTTGTAAAAAAAAACAATCCGTCATTTAATCTCTTTCAACCCTTAAGACGAGAGACGAGTAATGTTTTTTCCATACAAACGTTCTCGACTGATTTGATTTTTATCACCAAAGAATTGATTTTAATACGAAAAAAAATATAAAGTTCCTCCTTTTTTGTTAACTTGTGTTTCAAAGAAACTAGGAGCCCTCAAAAAAGCCATAAATAAACAAATTTTTATAAACACTAAAAAAGTTTAGTTTGGAGATTTAATAAGCATTCACAAAAAAAAGCAAAACATACAGGCATATTAAACTTATTATTACTCTATGGAAAAATATCTTTGGCGTATGTTTTATTTCTGAGGAGGAAATTGTCGAGAGCTAAACCTCGAATTTTGCAATTTTTATACGCAATTTTCAGCGTTACTACTGTTATCTCTATGTCATTGTATTTGCAAGTGCGTTACAACAATAGTATTTTCAAATTGCTTTTTCTCTAATGTCTCTCTGCTCGCGTCCGCTCTTAATCTGCTTTTAGGATTATCGATAGGAAAATTAACTTGTGATAATCAATCATTTTGTATGAAAGTATTTGATGGAAAATATTGATAATATGAATCTTAATATTACTATGATTTCTTTTCTTACAGTTGATGATGGTGCGATCCTAGACATAAATTTAGACAACTTCCTATACCCTCCACCGCCTGGATATGAGAAGATCATGGTTGAGCAAAGTCTACTTTAACAAAAGCCTAAGGGGATCACAAAAACAGTGCTACGGACAATGGTATGATACGCGTGCTTAATAGAGGCAAGAGATATATTTATTTTTGAATAATAAAGGCTAGGAATGAATGTCAAATGCCAAACTTAGTGTTTGGCTGCAAATGTGTTAAAAGGCCATCAGTAATTAATTTTCGTAATGGGTCACAAATATTTTTAATCAGTGCATAACTATGCACGCCAATAGAATTAGTACAAATTCTGCTTGTGATTCAGGTCTTATTTTCGTGCCTACCTGGATGGATAGTTTATGTTTGATGTTAAGAAATTAAGAAAAAGAGCTCTGATAATGACTGTTCTACTTATGTTAATCTAAAGTGAGTAAAAAGCACGAATTAGAAATAATATGGAATACGCACTGCGCTTAAAAGTGGTTCTACGCAAACTGCGATCAAGTGGGCGGGGTAGAAAAACTGCGATCTACACGCTGATCATGGGATTGGCTGGGATTTCCATTTAATATTATCTTACCTATTGAATGGATAGTCGAATTCATTTGATTTATCAAAGTGTTTTGTTGTCTGTGTGCGTATCGCGTTAGTATTAAAGTTTAGTTGTATGGGTTCGGAACCATGTTTTAGCGGGTTATGTTAGAAAGTAATGCTTCCATATCATTTCTAATTCGTTGGTACATAGAAGCGCTTGTGGCGGATAATTGTTAATATTGTTTGTAATGAACTTTTAATAAATACCGACTAAAAACATGTAACATACTGGCATCATTAAATGCAGACAAGTAGTGAACTACAATCCAGATCTTTTTTCTTAAAAATCTTAAATTACAGCTGTTTTGGACGTCGTCAGTGATGATGCTGCGTTATGTTACTCTTTAATATTGTAAATTTAATAGCTTTTTAGCGGTTTCGTATGAATAATTGCGTCCAATGAATGTGTAAAATAGAGGAATACCATTTAATTCCTCTGTTTCTCTTTAATAAAACGCGGCGCCACCTATTATTAATCATTCCTTCTATGTAGTTGTGTGTTGTTTTTGAAATGCCGGCATTTCAGATGGCTATTCGCATTTGCTTTTGTACTTAAACTTGATAGCACTCTGTCCTTTTGATTCCTTATAGAGGATGATAAGGACAACCTGCTGTCAAAATTTTAAACATTATCATACACCTACTTAGTGATTTTGATAGGTTTAGACCACAGAATACATAGAGAGGTTTAAATTATCGCTTTCACAGTTTATGAGCAGTGGATTTCGTGATTTTTACTACCTAAAGCAGAGCTCCCCCACTAGAGTCCGCATTACTCAAGTTTTGTTTGAAATCGAAATCGCCAAAGTTGCCAGCGCGTGCGTGGAAGGTAAGCCGCGGTTTCATTGGACACGACAGTGTGACGTCACGATCGGTTACAAATTTAGTGAAACAATAGTTGCGTTCGGTATTTGCATCGCAGAGGCGACTGGATTTTTGGTCACGTGATCAGATGTGAATCTGAGCAAATTGCCAGTTCCGTACGGCTCGAGCAACCGTAGATTAATTTATAACCTCAAATAGAAACTAACCTCATAACATGGCAGATAATCAGATTAAATTTTCTCTTCGGTCAAAATACTCCGAGCAAACAGATTAACATCGGACTGATCTCAGCGGAATTACCAAACACTTCAGATTTACTCTAGATGTAATAAACGAACGATTCAGACTTAAAAGATTGATCAGACGCAAATAACGAATGCAGCTAACGTATCGCCGTTGGTCGACGTCTGGGGGAGTGTCACATGCATATATATGTTGTTATACTTCTTAGAGTTAGCACAAGCAGGTGCTCTTTTATGCGATATCTAATGGGGCTGTTCTGTGTATAACAATAAGCTATACGGAAGCAATATACATAATTTGATTATCTAATTTTGCTTTCCTGCAGTACTATTCTGCAAGAACAAACACTTTTTACCGCGATGTGATGTGTGGCGGCACCATCTACATGCCCCACATATAATCAACATGAAGGAACAATAATTACTCGTCTCCTTAGGAGATGGCGCTACCGTCGCTGCGCTTACAACGTATGGAAGCCTACATCGCGCAAGAGAAATTCGAAGGCTAAACTCCATATATACAATGCCCGACCAACATCAGTCGGGCCGCGGCCCCCGAGCTACCATCATACAGCTCGGAGGAAGATCATCCCCTTTGGCCTTTCTACAGATGTAAAAAAAAAAATATTTCAAAATTCTTATGCTAATTTCAAATCACACCGGTAAAAAGTGAGTTTGTTTTTACTGAATAGCACTGCTGATTGTCTTTTTTTTGCAACGGTGGCGCCATCTAAGTTTGCTCATGTGTGCATTCCGGCCTTGTGTAGTGTCATTAAAATTGGTTAAGGTTTCATTTCGCTAGGTAATGAGAGATCTCAATATTATTACTATGTATGTTTCATAGCAGCATTTAATACACAACTTCTTACAAAATGTTTCGACATCTGCTTCAGGTATACAATGTTAAAGAGATTTGATAAGTAAAATTGAATTTTACAAATAATTTTTGGTGTGAGAAGTGGAAAATTAAAATTTACTTTATCATAAGCTTCTAGCTTGAAAATCTGTTCTCCAAAGCGCCATCTGCAACCACCGGGTGTTTATAACAGTGGGTACCGTTTGGTAACTAGACTGCTTAAGTGTCAATGAATGTACGGGTGCTTATTAAAATTGTATACTATCCTATACTTATTAAAGCACGTACTGCTTTAAAATAAAATTCGCACGAGCGTTCTTTCTTGATCTCTCTCTGATTATATTTAGATCTTATCGTACGCTTAATGGTTATGCCCAATTAGATCTCAAGTCCACTAGCAGTTCTATTTACATTGCAAATATCGCTGAAGCGTCAACAACACTTAACGATAAGTTTATTACTCAAGCGTGTGTTCGTAACTCAATTTGTTTGGTGTATTTTCAGTGCTCCTGACTTCTGATCTAAAGGTCCTTTGAATCTGAATTCTGGTTCGGGTAGGTAATTTATTTATGTGATGAGCACAAATATGTTCCCGAGTCAAGATTGTGTCTTATATAATTACTTTAGTTACCAAGTTCAAGCTTAACTTGTGACTAAATACTTCATTGTTATGAGTTGGTTTTTATTAAAATTTGTCAGTGCTGTGCAATTAACGATATTAAATACCCTAGATACACCACGTGCGCTCAAATTGTGTCCCTATCAAGAAGTGCTTGAACACCACTTAAGCACTTCTTGGTAGACAGTCATGCGCGGACCATTGAAAAGTCAAGTTGCTGCAGAGCTCCGTGAAAAAATGCGAAAAAAAAACTTATACTATGTAAAGTGTCGTTTTTTCGACAGAGGTTTTAATCAGTCTTTAAAATTTTGTTCTCATTCTGATTAAATAGAAAATATTTGTGATATTGAAATGCATGGTCGGTAATATAGCCGCCTCTTTTCCTCGCGGTCCGTACCTGCTATATTGCTAACAGCGCTTTCAGAATTGCGCGTAGAGTCAGAGAAATAAAGTCTATATTCTTCCGCATATAGCAATAAGTCGTAAAATTTTACGAGCTTGCATTTCGAACTGTCTTAACTCTTTGACGCATGCGTTTTAATTATGACATTATACAGTATGCATTAAAGGTGACTTTCAATGTTTAAAATATTCCATTTATTGTTTTTGACTACCCGATCATCTTACGGAGCGCCGTGGATCGTCCAATGTACCTTTTGGACAGGTTTCGAGCACGATTTTGTCCGTGTTGGTGTATCTAGGGTATTTAATATCGTTGTGTGCAATTCCCTAAACCCGCGTATAAAAAGCGCTCGTGCGAAAGTTTCTAATGAAATTATAATAAGTTAGAGTCACAAATTAATTTCGCCAATTTCACAATTTAGTTTTAGACTGAATCTAATATTATAACACTGGACAAACTGTAGTTGATTGAAATGAAAACAAAACCACCGGTTTCGTAGAAGGTTTAAGTCGCACCAATAAAGAAAATGATCAAAAATGGCGACGCAAGACTTTCTGCGCTTTCTTTCAGAAAAATAATATTATTCAATTTAGGACCGTTTCAATTACTCTAAACGAAAAGAGTGTCAGCCCTTTAAAAATATTTATAGATTTTTTTACAAGTGTCTATTTATACCATAAAGATAGTTTAAATCTTTATTAGATATTCATATTGTACGTTAAGGCAGTCGTCACACCGCTCCGGTGAGGAAGCGACTTGCTATCGACTAATTTCTTACTCGATAGCCCAGCGATAAATCTATCGGAACTACATACTCACTTTCCGTTTCTGGCCAACTCGTTTCTAGTTTCTAGCTCTAGTCTCTTCTCGTTCATCATCGGCGGGGAGACAATAGCCATAAGCTTGAAACCCATAGAGAAAAGAGCGTATACCAACCAACTATAACGATCACACTCAGAGGTTTCAATTAAATAAAATTTATTTCCAAAGTGATGTGACTTGACTAATTAATTGTATTAAAAATCACAGCATTCTGTTAACATTATGTTGTAACTTGAAAATTAATTGACGGCTTTGACCGCGTTTTTTCACCCATAGTTAAATTTGACTATAGTTTGACGTGACATTTAACGTCAGGTACGTAGTAAATGTGTAAAATTTTGAAAAATGGTATTTTTTTCCTTATCCATATTGTTAAAATACGGATAAGGAAATATATATATATATATTTAGTCAAATTTAATTATACATGAATAATGCGGTTTTGGTAAGCGGCCCTTGCCTTAATTTTAAACGCCAATGCCAATGAGCTTGGGAAAACTATTTATATTAAATTATTATTGAAATACATATATACATTTTAACTAAAAATAGGACATAATTTTTTTTCTGTATCCCTTCAAAATACTTCACAATTTTATTATTTATAATAAATCTGGAAATACTTATCGTATCCAAGTGAAATAGAAGCTATTGGTTTTGGAGTAACGACTTCTATAATAGTTAAGGATTAAAATGAATTTTATTTTTAT